AAGTTACGCGTTCGGAAGCAGGTGTTGTACGGGTGCGTCGCTGGGTCGGTCAACCACCAAGCTCGCCAAGGCTCGGAGTCGTCTATAGACTCGGCTTCAGCACACCAGTCTCTGCCCGCAGGAATCCAAGCAAGATTGACCAGCGGATACAACGGGACCAACGGCTCGAAGAAGAGCTCCGCGTCGATTTCCGGGGCAGCAAGCCCGCCGACAAGCTTCATCACTGCAGTGAACAGGTCGTCCGGCAGGATAGTCATGAGAATTCGGTGGGCATCGCCTCGACGCTTGCGAGCCAACTTGTACAACACCCACGTGTCATACATCTCGGCTATCACGTGATACGGGAGCCCCGTGTGAAAAGCCGGATGTAGCCCCATCAGCACACTCGACTCGACCATCCAGTGACACCGCTCGAACAGTGCTACGAAGAACTTGGTAGGACCCTCTTTGTCACAAACCGAGTCCGGAGCCTCTCCGCGGATTTTCACGAACACTTCTGCGAGACGCTCCATCAAGGTCACCGACTTCACCGAGTTCGTCAACCGGCGCTTGGCATCGTCGAGGACTTGAGGGGAGAAGAACATAAAAGTCTTGGGAAGCAGACGAAGGAGCCGCTGAGCCGGGTGATCCGGATGGTAGACGTCCGCGAACGCTTTAATCCCAGCGAGGGAACAGAGCGTAACCGGCACACTACCCTTCCCCAACGCGTCATCCACAGTGACCTTGGCCGTTGATGGCTGAGGATAGCCTCCCAGCACCGCCGAGACCCGTAATGAACGAAGCGGATGTCACGCAGCTGAGCTAGCTGGGGAGTGATCCGGGCATCTCGGCCGACCGCCTGGCGAGCTCGAGTGCGCAGCTGAGCGAGCGAATAGCGTAAAGCTGCAGGCAACTGAGGGAGAACGTGGGCGCCAGCGTCATGAGCGGTCACGATAGGCACCGACAGGGTTGAAGCTGGACCAGCATAAAGAGGCGACAGCGAAACAGCCGAGCTCGATGGGATGCCAGAGCTCCCAGCCGAGTTGTTAGTCGAGCTGGAAGCGGCAGAAATCTCACCCGGACCGACGGCCGAGTCCCCAGTCGAACCTCGCTGACGCTTGGACGGGCGGGGGTCCTTAGCCGAGTCCGGAGACGCAGACCTCTTCGACTTCTTTGACCCTGCCGACTTCGACTTCGACTAGTGTTTGTGCTTGTGCTTGTGCTTGTGCTCGTGATTGAGCTTGTGCTTGCGCCTCCGCTTGCGCTTGCCCTTACCGCTCTGCTTCTTGGAACTCGGCTGTGAGTCTGAGTCACCTGACTCGCTGGACGGAACGAGAGGCGATTGACGAGCAGCCATGTAGCTCTGAATCTTCCCGTGCGGAGGTGGGAGCGCAGAAGCTAACGAAGCCCGGCGAGATGCGTCAGGGTCGGCCGAACTGAGCTCGTCAGCAGATCCAGGGTCGTCAGCAGATCCAGGGTCGTCAGCCTCAGATTCAGAGCTCTCGTACACAGGCAACGGATGTGCTGAGGTTCCAGGAGCATTCAATCCAAGAGCCGAGCCCGACGAACCAGAGGAAGAGCTACGCCGAGCGGACCGCAGGACGAGATAGTCAGGAGTCTCTAACAGATCCAAGCAGTGAGCGTTCAACACTCGGGCAGTAGCCGCAGTGGAGCGTAAAGGGCGACCCGATGGAGAAGTCATCCCAGCTGAGCTAGGAGGAACCGCTGGCCGGGTCGAGGCCACCGACGGAGTGCTCGTCATTGGGGTGACTATAGTCGACGCCACCCCTGACGGGCCACGATGACTCTGGGCTTGATTGGCAAACCGGGAACGAGTACATGCCAAGAGCCGGTGAGCGGCCGAACCCGGAGAAGACTGCGAAACCCGAGGCGGAATCGCAGCGGAGCTGTTAATTGTACCCGCAGCCGAGACTCCAGCCGTCGATCTCGGCGCAATCACAGCATGCGTTGTAGCAAGCGCCGGATCGGGAGCAGAGGGACCCGGTTGTCCTGCGGCGCCGACAGTCGATGTCACCACAGCCGCGCTCGGCACGCTGGTCGAGGGAGGAACCCATCGGACACGAGTCGGGAACGGAACCGAGGCAGGAAGAGAAAAAGCGGACGGAGTTGCAGCATGGTCAGCAGATCCAGGCAACGATACAACAGCCACTCCGCTTGAAGGCGTCTGCACCGGGGAGGAAGAGTAAGGCACGAGTTGCACGGGCGGCAAACTCACGGTCGGGCCGGCGGGCCCCCTCGGAAGCTCGGCGGAACCAGGCACTTCGGTGAACTCGAACGAGAGGTCCTCTTCCAGCGAGTGAACCTCATCGCCGGCCACCACATTCACATCGTCGACAATCAACCCGGCAAAGTTCAAGCTCGACCGGAACGATAGGTCGCATGCGGCGTCAGTCTCTTGGGCAGCCTTTTCAAGCTGGGCCAACGCGTCCTCATGGCCGACCTCACCAGCAAGTGGACACGCGCACGGCTGCTCGAGTGGCGTGTTGGGCTTGCGCTGAGAACCAGCCGCCGTCGCTGACGTCGGGTTTGAGTAGCGAAGTAATTTTTCGGCGGGTGTCAGAGTATCCAGCCGAGCTCGGTGAACCTGGTCGACCGACTTGCTGCGGTGACGGCGCGAAGCAGAAGTGGACACGGGCGTAGAAACCGCACCAGCCGACACAGGATTGGCGGCAGATGATGCGGGAGACTCGCTTGGAGGGGCCGGAGCCTCAGACCCAGTCAGTCGGGTTGATTGTCCAAGGAAAGAACCAGCCGAGCTCACGGGCGCTGGCAGAGTAGTGGCAGCGCCGTCCGCTCGCGGGTGGATGGTCAACTCGACTCGACGAGTCTCTCCAGCCGGGATGTCCATCACCTCCGGGAAACGTTGAGCCAAGATCCGGCATAACGGAGCATTGAGCTGCAAGTCAGCAGGGCTCGACCCAGGCACGTCCAACCCGGCTGCAGCTGCAGCAGCCATGTGAGGATCATGCATGGGTAAAAGACCCATGCGAGAAATGACACGCTTCTGTCGGAGGATGACCTCACGCTGGTGTTTGATGGTAGCCTTGGGATCACGGAGAGGCTGGGCGACTCCAGAAATGAGTAGCCGAGCCGACTCCTGCAGTTGCTCGAAGTGCTTGGTCGAGATCCCCTGGAGCACAGCGTACTCGGCGTCACGAGCCGAAAGAAGCTGAGTCAAACGCTCAATCTCCGAGGCGCGTTCCCTGAGCTGCCTGCCGAGATCCTTAGCGTGAGCGAGAGCCGACTTCACTTTATCATCCTGAGACTTGCGGGCCGACTTCAAGGAAGCTTCAGACTCGGTCATCGCCTTCCCGAAGCTGGTCAGGAGAGGGGACGACTTCTTCGACTCGGCTTTCCATCGGTCACGCTCCTCCTCGACAGTCTTCAACCGTTCCTCGAGGTCGGCCTTCCCAGCCGCCTGTGAATCCAGCCGCCAAGTCAAGTCAGCGTTAATAGACCGAGCAGACTCCAGCTCGACCCTCAGTGCAGCGACGTCACTAGCTTGACTTGACGGTTGGCGCTGACCGCGAAGGAGGCTCACGAGTTCGCTGACGGACGTCGCCTCGAGGGCAGCTGGGCGGACCTCTCTATCAGCCGCCGGTGCGGGACGAGTGATCACGAACCCTAGACAACAGCCGAACCAAGTCCGCGTTCTCGATGCGGCGTTGCTCGGACTGCGCATGGATCAGCGCAGCGAGAGAGTCGAGACTCATCGGCGCAGCCGAGGCCGACCGACCAAGATCGGCGGCGTCCGAAGTGGTGTCGCCACGCGGACTCGGCGAGCGGCGAGGAGAAGTGCGAGATGCCGGCTCAGACTCCCGGTCGAACCCACGGGAAGTTGTCAGATCGATGACAGGGTGCTCCTGCCCATCGCTGACCCCGCGATCCCGGGACGCCGAGTCGACCAACTCAGCGAACTTCCCCTCATCTCGCGCAGGAGGATGTGAAGACTGCAAAGACGACGCAACTGAAGTCTGTGAAGATCAGTAGAAGAAGGGTCAGCAGCAGAATGGATGGAGCCGTCGGAGGCGAGGAACGTACGGAGGAGCGGCAGGAGCGCCGGACGACGACATGGCGCGGAGACTTGTTCGCTGCCGTTGGAGTTTTGGCCGAGATTGGACTCGACTCAAGGAGTGATGATCAGGTCCCTCACCAACTCGGCTCGGAACATGACCGGGGCAGTTGTGGTGTAGAGAACACCATATTTCGCGCGACCAACTCGGCTGGAGTGGTACACTGTACCGGTAGCCGAGCTCAGCCGAGTTCACCAGCTTATCCGGACACCTTATCCGGCTCAGCCGAGTTCGAAGAATTATCCGGATAGCTCATCCGGACCAGCCGAGCTCAAGCGTCGCCGAGCTCAGCGAAGAGTCGGCCGAGATCCAAAACCGCCCACTTTCATTTGGTATTTGAATAGGAGCTTAGGAATAGTGGAGGTGCCCCTTCAGGGTGCCCGACAGAGATAACAAACAACAGAGCAGAATTTTCTAGGTCCACAACACGTGTACACGTTCCGGTAAGTCCCTGCACGGGGCTGGATTATGTCTGCTGCCGGTACCCGAGAGGCATAGCTTGTAGGGTACTCGGCTGGCAGCGCCAAGAGATTAAGGTCGGCCCGGGTTGGGTGCGTGTCTCGCCAAGCGCGAAGGAAAAGTCTCGCCACCGCTGCGAGCCGGTGTTCACGTACGTCCCGGGCACTGATTGCTGAGTCGAGAAGCCTTTGCTCTCGGTGACCTGTAAAAGCGCTCCGTGCGCCGTCGTCCATCCTTTGGTGGAGGGCACAGGGTTAAGTGAACGGAGGCCGTCGAACTCGGCGGCTCTCCGGAGGGGTGATCTTGGTTGGCAGGTCTCGACGAAAGGCGAGACACCCGCTGTCCCGGTTGGGCCGAACCGCTCGGGGGCAACCCGGCGTAGGCCAACAAAGCCGACCAGCTCGGCTATTGTTGTGTTTGTAGCCAAGTTACCACAACTGACGATTTTGTGTGTACTGCTATACCACACAGTGGCTCCGAGCTTTCGTCAATGAGATGAAAGGAACGCACACTCCGCCAAACGAGTGGTGCATGGCTTTCGAGCTGAGCCTTCGGGACGGTGCCCTTCACTGGTACCGTCAACTCCCGAAGAGGACTAAGCGTCAGTGGAAGCGACTGAGCGATGCGTTTATCAAGTATTACTGCTCGCAGTTTAGCCAGTCTGCGAAAGCTCGCTACTACTCTGCGAAGCGCGAGTCCTCGGAACACCTTTGTGACTACCTCAACCGACTGAATGGTTACGCTCGTAATGCTGGCCTTCAGTTCGAGAATGGTGGTCGCGATGCGAAGGACCATGCGCAGCGGTTCCTCGAGACGTGCGGTGACCGAAGCCTCGAACGCCAGCTTTGCCACGTCCGGGTGAAGGACATTCACGAGATCGAGGACATGATCAACGGCATCTTGAAGTCTGAAGAGCGTGGGCAGTCGCGTGAGACGTCGTATCACCACTCGCGCAGTCGAGACCAACCGCGTCGTCGTGATGACCGTCGCCACGAAGCTTCACGTGACAGTTACCGTCGCGACCGCGACCGTGGTTACGAACGTCGCCGCGAAGACTCTCGCCGCCGCGATGACTCGCGCCATGTTCCGCGCATTTCGCTAGCTGAAGCGTCGCTGTCAGATTTGGTCGCTTTTACGAAAGGAACCATGAACCGAGAGACGAACTCTCGTGAAAGTAACCCTCGGTTGGAGCAGAGTGTACGAATTCGAATTGTGGATTATGGATCATGGTGCTGGTGTGGATGTAGTCCTCGGTACCGACTTCATGATTCCTGCAGGAGTGCGCTTGGACTTGTTCCACGCGACCGCGAGGTTGCCGGACGAGGTGAGTATTCCACTCATTAAGACGGTGGACATGCTGAATGACCAAGGGGAAGGCCCGCACGTCAACGGTGGTCCGTCCGAGGACCTAATCATTGAGAGCCGAGAGTTCGCAGAGTACAGAGTACCGAGGCGTCAACCACCTCGGGATACACACGAGGTGTGGGTACGTAGCACGAAGTCTCTGTTGCCTACGGTAACGAAATTTTGGCGAGGCAAGGTCGAGAGAGTGCGATTGACGAACGTGTCCAAACGGTTTACGGTTTGCCGTGCTCACTCACCTATGCTAATGTGGGTACCGATCGGAGGTCTCCCGAAGTCTGAAGGTTATGTTCGACTCAGTTCGGAACGATACGAGGACTGGCAGAAGTTGGCGTGTGACCGAAGTCGGGATGAAACAGTGTTCAAGCGTGAGTGTGATGCATATGCGGATTGGCTGGCCTCTCAGCCTTCGGCTGTGGAGCGACCGGAGTATCCAGTGCCGGCCGGAGTGTTACCCCGGCCACCCGAAGCCTCCCAGACGCACGGCCGCCAGCTGAGTTGTGCCGAGCAGTGGGAACGTGAAATCGCTAAGCGTGAGGAGCAGGAGCAACTCGCCACCGACGGATCACCAGTGGGTGATGATCCGGTGGCGCTCCCTCCCGTGCACGTGGAAGCCGATGACACTAGTACCGAAGGTTCATTCGAGTCTGAGAGTGAACGAGCTTCGGATGCCAGCACCGATGAGGACGCCTCGGACCTAGGGGTGATAGCGAGCCAAGTGCCAGCCGAACCCTCTGACGTAAGGAAGACCGTTCAAACTGGGGTGACAGTGAACAGTCACCGGGTTCCGAAGACTCAGTCCAAGATGAAGACTCGGTAGCAGTGCTGACACGCAATTATCTGTCGGCCGCCGCCGCTGTCGACGTTGAAGATGGAGAAGCTGGCGTCGAAGCAGGCAATGCCCGAGCCGAACACTTGCCCAATGAGATCAACTTGGAAGATTACGCTCATGAACTAGCTTTCCTGCCCGACCTTACAGAAGCCTCGGTCACGGAACTGGACTACTCGGCTGAGAATGGCCGGCACCCGTAACTGAGTAGAGGACGGCAGGATCGCTTAGTGAAGGTTCTGAAGAAACATGAGAAGATCATGATCTCTAGTGGCAATGCTCTACCACCACCTGCGTACGGTGTAGTGTGCGACATCGATGTACAGGGCCATGCGCCTATCAAGCAACGAGCACGGAGGATTCCCCTCCGACACGTCAAGAAGCTGTACGAGCTTTTGCGAGGTTTGCTCAAGGCCGGTCTGATCGCGTTCTCCAACAGCCCATGGTCGTCACCGATCGTGATTGTGCTGAAGAAGAATGGCGTAGATATCAGACTATGCATTGATTACGAGATTGTGAACGCAGTCACCGCTATCATGGAGTATGCAATGCCCTTTGTGGATGATCTGCTCACGGACCTGGAGAAGTATCTGCGGTACAGCTCGCTTGATGCGGCGAGTGGGTTCTGGGCGATCATGATGACACAGAGGGCTCATCAGATCTCTGCTTTTGTGTGTGCACTGGGTCATTTCGAGTGGCTCAGAATGCCCTTTGGGCTTAAAAATGCACCTATCATCTACCAACGAATGCTCGACAACGCTCTGTGGGGCTTTGTTCAGCCGAAGGGTGGCTGGAAGCATTATGCGCGTCTGATGACAGAAGCTGAAGCACGCGACCGTGAACTCGCCGACGCCTCGACCGAACAGTCACATGAAGAGTCGTCCGACCCGGACCAGTCGCCTACGAAGTTTGAAGCGGGACTTGGTATCTGATCGAGTGAAAGCTCGGTCTCGGAATTAATCAACAGTCCTATTGCGGACATGTTTGCGAATGGAGAGCCCGACGAGTCTTCGTTGGTGCCGGTTTTCGAACGGCGTTCATTTGTTGACGATATTTGCTTTGGCGGCGAGTCTTTCGATGCATGTCTAGCGACGCTCGATCGACTCCTCGCTCGGTTCGAGGAATGTCGGATCAGCGTGGGTTTCACCAAGAGCATTTTCGTGCAGCCCAAGGTGGACTTCCTGTCTCACGAAGTGTCCCGGAGTGGTATTAGAGCAGACCCTAAGAAGTTGAAGGCTATCACCGAGCTGTCCTTCGCCAGGTCCAAGAAGGGAGTGCAAGCTTTCCTTGGCGCTCTGAACTACTACAGTCGCTTCATACAGGACTCTGCTGTCTATGGTGCCGCGCTCGACCAGCTGCGAGACGAAGACTTCGCACCAGGGGGCGACCTCTCTGCAGCCAAGCGAAGCTTCGCAGCATTGCAACGAAAGGTCGGTGAGGCACCTGTCCTCCGACACTTCGACCGTGACCGGGAGGTCCATGTGACGCTGTTTGCAAATAAATGGGCAGTGAGCACCACGCTCATTTAGGAGCACGATGGCCTGATGCACCCGGTGCGTTTCTGCGGCCGAGTGCTCAAGGACGCCGAGATGAACTCCCACCCGGCGGAAAAGGAGGTACTGGCTTTGCTGCAGCTGTTGAAGGTGTGTTACACCCAGCTGACCGGTCGGACCATACATGGCTACACGCGGTTCTCGACGCTCGACTGGGTCCACAAGTCGAATACACTCTTCGGACGCGCAACGCAATTTGCCGTCTTACTGTCTCCGTGGAGTCTAGTGGTGCAACGAGTCAAGGAAAAGGATTGCGCCTTCGCGCAGCTCTTACAGTCGACGATCACAAGCTTCGTTGACCTCGAAGCCTCGTTGGCACCAGTGACCCCTCGAGCCAAAGGATCGCCGAGTGTTCGGATGGATCGGCATTTGATTTATGCACGGTTGCCACGTACATACAGTGGCTACGTAAATTTCGTTTGATGGCTCGGCGAAGACCGAGAAGCATGGTGGATACGGCAGTTGCGCCTGGATACTATGGCGACTTCCTGAATGGAGTGTAGTGGTCGCTGCGAGTGCGTATCTCGAGACCACGACTGTAAACCTCGCTGAGTACACCGGAATGAACAACGGGGTCTCTGCCGCCCTGGAACATGGGGCCGAGGACTTAGTCATCGTCGGGGACTCGAGACTCGCAATCCAGCCATCCCTAGGGGTGATCGCTTGCCGTAAGGAGTCGCTGATGGCACAACTGAATAAGCACAAGGAACTGACCGCGAGATTTCGGTCCGTGAAGTACCTACATGCTATCCGAGAGTTCAATGCAGCTGCAGACTCTTTAGCGAGCGAAACGTTGGAGAAGAAGGTGTCGACGACGGTGAACAGCGAAGACCGAAAACGAGAGTTGATGGAATTGAATCGGATCCGAGAAGTGCTCTATGAACCGTCAGCCGAAGCCTCCGAAGCTTCTGGAGAAGTTGCAACGTGTCACGTGAACTCGATACGCGTGATGTATACGCGTGACAGTGACCGTAGTAAGAATTTTTCGATTTTGTACGGGATACTGGACATGTAGCCGCGGTAACGAGGCAACAAGCCCGCGCGCGTGCGAAACAAGTACGCTTTGCCGATGAAACTTCGGGTGATGAACCAGAAGAGAGAACAGAAGGAGACGAAGCTAACGACGCCAGCAACGAAGAGTCTAACGAACTTCCGGACCAACCGAGACCTGACGCAACGGTGGTCCATGAACCGAGTGCTGACGACATCGACCCGCTAGTTGTGCAGGAAGAACGGCGCAGGCGCATTGGCACAGCCCAGGATGAGGAGTTCCGGTGGTCAAACCTCATAACGCTGCTAAAGGGAGACGAAGCGAAGCTTACCTACAAAGCTGCACGCGAAGCCTGGAAGATGGCTGACAAGTTCGTCTTAAGCGAAGATGGCTTGCTGTATTTCCTTGGTGCGAATCGTCGGTGGGGTCGCGACCGGGCCGAGGAGACGACACTACGCCTAGTCGTGCCAACAACGATGGTTCAGGAGATCCTACAGAACTGCCACGACTCGTTGGAGGGCGGTCACCAAGGTATCGTCCGAACCTACCACCGAGTCAAGGCTGACTACTATTGGATTGGCTTATTCGCCGATGTGGAGAAACACGTACGCTCGTGTCCAGACTGTAGCTGAAGCAAGAGTCGCCCGCAGCTACGTGGGTACTCCCCAGGCAACATTCTGGCCGAGCGTCCGCTACAAATTGTCTCGATGGATTTTGTGATACCCCTACCGAAGACTCGGCGGGGCAATACCGCACTGCTACTGTTTCAGTGTGCGTTCACTGGATTCGTCATGGGCAAGGCGATGGCGGACACATCTGCACTCTATGTAGCACAAGTATTCGAAGAGTGCGTGTACCGAAGGTTCGGAGCGCCGTCTCTGATCAGGCATGACCGAGACCCGCGCTTCATGAGCGAGGTCTTCCAAACCTTCGCCGAGATGATGCAGTCGAGATCTAGGGCTACGTTGAGCTATCGGCCTCAGGCTAACCGCCAGCAGGAACGCTCGGTCAAGACCGTAATGAAATCGGTGCGAGTGTACGCGGAGGACCCACTGCAATAAGACTGGGATGAGATTGTGGAGAAGTTGATCTTTGCGATTAACAACTCGCAGGACGCCACGAGGAAGGACACGCCCTTTTACTTGGTGCACGAATGGGACGCAAGGTCCACCCTCCGAGCAATGTCCTCATCACTGAAGCGAGGTGTCGGGCGACAGTTCGATGCGTTGTCACGGCGCAGAGAAGTCAACAGGCAGCAGGGAGTTGCGTTGGAAATGGCTAAGGAGTACCAAGCAGTCGAGAAAGCTCGGCGTGCTCAAAAACATAACGAGGCTTTGAGCCGAGCAGAACGTGCTGCGCTTCCACCTTCCGCGACTGGCGAAACCTCGGAAGATGATCCGACAGGTGCAGAGGGTGACACACCAGACCCCGCACCGAAGTCTCTCTCCCAGCCTGGTGATCGCGCGTGGCTTTAGATGGAGCGCGTCAATCCAGGATTGACCAAGAAGTTGGCTCATCGATGGCATGGTCCCTTCCGCATCAAGCAGAAGGTTGACGAGTATGCGTACGAGTTGGATTTGCCTGACCAGAGTGGTTACCGGTTCTACCCTGTAGTGCATGTGTCCCGGTTGAAGGCGGTGAACGAGTTTGGTGATCGGCCGAAGGCTCGACTTGCTGCCGAAGTAACCGAGGAGACGCGACTGGATTTCGACGAGGAGTCACTCCCGGAGGATAGTTAGAAACCCGACCACCTGGTAGGCGAGTATGAGGTTGAAGCCATCTTGGATGACCGAATTCCCCTCTCGACGAGCACGGAGCGAGCCGTCCGAGAGTTCAAGGTGAAGTGGGTCGGCTATGACGAACCCTCGTGGGAGCCCGCGTCGAATCTGTCTTGTGGCGTACTATCTACGCGAGAAACGACGTGACCGAAGGTTGCAAATGGTCCAAGTCGCTGACGAGGACTACTGCATCCCTCTCAACATGATGAACTGCCGGCAGAGCTACGCAGCCTGCCTCAGCAGACGAAATATGTTACTACGGAAAGAATATTGTATATTTGTATGTTGCAGTGGACAAGACTTTACGAAGTGGAGATCACGACTGGAGAGACTATGGAGAACAGCTGAAGAAGGACAAACGACTATTGAATTGCATGGGCGAGCTAGTTATACTACGAACGAATTGTCTGAATACCCTGATCGAACTCAACCTAAACATGAAGGAACGATGGAGAACTGGAACGAAGCTTAGGCGTCCGAAGATGAGGCAACCTTGGCCAAAACGCGGAGACGCGCAGCCGGAGAAGCTTCGGCTTGCGTGGCAGCTTGATCAGCAGCACTTGGAGGCGAACGTGGTGCGTCAGCCGGAGTCTCGCTGGCTGGGGCCTCCTCAAGAGGGGCCTCCGAAGCCGCGACGCGATCTTGAGCCGAGCCCTCCGTTGCCGTTGCTGCATCTTGAGCTCCTAGCGCTTGTGTAGCTTCACCCGAAGTCGCTTGAGTATCCACGACGCGGCGAGACTCGTCCCGAGCCTCTTCCGAAGACTCTTCAGCAACCGGAGACTCGATCGCTTCAATCAGCTCCTCGACCTCCTCCTCTTCCGAGACTTCGTCTTCACCTGGCTGCCCGTCCTCCTGCAGACCGAAAGGAGGTCCGTGGAAGTTAGTGAACTCACGCACCCACGGGGCCGTAACACGGCGAGAGTCCAGCACAGGGTTGACCGTAATAGCTGTCGCGACTTCTCGAACGGTCATGCCACGCGGGACGAAGAGTGGAACCCTGGGGTTACACGGAGCGAAGGTTGTGTTGTACGGGTGCTCGGACGGCACATCGGTGACGCACCAAGCCGATCATCAGCTGAGCGAAGTTTGCGAAGCGTCGTTCCGAATGTTCGCGGAGCTCTTCGACCTCAGCCTGCACCTCGTGGTGGACGATGTCTTCCACAGCGTACCACTGCGCAGAAGAACGCGGAATAAGTCCCAAAGCCTCGTGCGCAGTTGCAGGCAGCGGGTCACCCGTGCGGCAGAAGTGTGCAGCATTTGACGAAGGCTCGTGCAGAGGACTGGAGTCGGGCGAGGACCTGAGGACCAGCTGAGTACACGCAGGGTCCGACGAAGCCCCGCTAGCGGACGGCAAAGCGGGAGTTGGCAACGTCGGAGCCACTGCACTCGAAGCCGAGGTCTCTCCGGTGCTTGCAGCCGAAGCATGGTGCGCGATGACCGAAGGTGCGGCCTGGAGACCGCCCGCCACCCCGCGTGCTTCTGCAGAGGCGGGAGTTGGTGACGGAGCAGCCCCGGCGCTGCCACCAGCACCAGACGATGGCACTGAAGCTACAGGAACTGCAGCCGAAGCCTGGGACCGTCGGGGCACCCCGCTTGCTGACGCAAAGGCGGGAGTTGACGCCGCCGAGGCCTCCGAAGCTGGCGCAGAAAGGTCGACGACGTGCCCCGCCGGGCTGAGGAATGATGTGTTCTGCAGCAAGACGCAGCAAGTTGAAGACGGTTAGACGCGATGAAGAGATCAAGCACAGTACTCAGGCACCTCGCACGAAGACTCACCTGGACGACTGGACCGAGGTCCGGGAAGGTGAAGGGCGGCGCGCTGCCAGGACCGCCAGAGTACTGCATGGCGTCGTAGCGCAGAGAGGCACGAAGGCAACACTGCGCTCACCACTTGGGACGGCTCGGGCCGAGTTGGGGGGCGCTGTGAGATCGGGAAATGACTGCGGCCGGGCGAGTTCCGGCCGAGGTCTAACTGCCTTGAGCTTGCGAGTGATGGCTGACCGAGGGCTCTGATTGTCGGTCACATTCCCCGCGCTTTAGTGCCCAGGAGATTGATAGAGACTACGGAGGGACAGGAGGGTCTCGGCGGGTCAAAATAAACCGCCTGCCGAGACCTCCGAAGTTTCATAGTGGGTACACTTTATGCCCAGTAGGAGTTCGGATTTAGGACGAAGCTTCGTCCGATTGTAGGATCAGCTCGAAAGCTCGGTCCACACTTGATATTTGTATAGACCTTAGTGGTTAGCTATAGGAGAGGCCTGACAGCCTCTAATCATTAAACAGAGCAGAATTTTCCCCCCAAGCCACACAAGGGTCAAGTCCGTCTACGGTAAGTCGCTAAGCTTAGCGTAGGGTCTGGATACACTCGGCTGCACGGGGTATGTCTGCCGGTGAGCATAAGGTGCATTGACCGAGTGTTCATCCTGGTAAGGCCAAGAGTGAGTAGGTGGCCGAGTGTTGGGAGGTATTAGAGACCTCTGTGTACAGTTGTACGTTTGACTGGGTGTGAGGCAAGGACCGCCAGTGTATTTGACTTCTAGCCGAGGCTTCGCCCCGGCGCCCCTGTAAGAGGCTTCGATTGGCCTGGTACCCTTCCTTTCTGAGGGACCACAGAGGTTTAGCGCGAAGCACGTATTATACATTGCATCCTAGCCGTGGCTCGTGGCTAAGGGTGCTCTTATATTTTAACGAAGGGTATACCTACCTGACCCGCAACACACAGGGAGGCACATTCCAGCCCGTATAAGGGATCGGACCTGGTCTTCAGATTTATTATCCCGACAATCTATCGCCGACTCTTCGGAGACGGCGTGTGTTGTTGGTAGGGCTCGCCCTAGAGACTTCGGTTGATAGGGCGAGGACTCGTAAACTCGTGTTTTCCTACACGACATTACTGCGATTACGGAAGATGTCACGGCGGATAAGTTGACCCCTACGACTTCATGTGGCAACCCACCTACTTCACTTGTGAACGCTACCAAGCGCCTTTGCGCAACAACCGGTATTGTTTGAGACCGGTGATCGCGATGTGGTTCGTATTGTTCACCTCAAAGCATCTTGCTCCGAGGCATGGCGGCTAAATGATGGTGCCAACCGGGCGTTTGAGAGGCTTATCGCTACAAAGACTACTGGTCTACTCCACGAACCTCTTGGCCGAAGGCAGCGGCGAAAGGTTTCCGCCTTGCACGGCAATGCTATTAAATGGTCTTTATACCTGGCGCATCGTATGCACATGTCCTCCGCTGGTTGGATCGTCAACATGGCTTCAGCATCGTGCGAGTGTTGCTACTATTTGAAAATGGGGTACTGCTGTCAT